GCCCCCAACAGCCTGCCCTGCCCTGCTCTGCCTGCCTTGCCCTGCTTGCCCCATGTGGGGGCCTCCCTGGTTTCTCAGGGGTTGTTTTTCTTCCTACTCCAGCCTCCCGGCACGCCGGTAGCCACAAGGGCAGGACGTGCCGCCTATCTGATAGGAGCAGTCTCTCTTGGCACTGCGGCTGGCAGTGGAGGGGCCGCAGCACGGTGGTTTCGGGCACAGGGAAGTGCCGACGATGGGGTGGGGGGAGCCTCCAGCCAGGCTTCCTGAGCTGCACAGCCACCACTTTCCAGATAAAGGTATCGCCTGGAGGAGCCGCAGCAGCTCCCGGGGAGCTGGGAAGGGCCGAGCACGGCATGCGCAGCCCCGGCACACGGGGTGCGGGATGGCAGCCTGCCTGCGCCAGGGCTGGCTGCTCTCACTGCTCCCTGCTGTCCTGCTCAGCCTCCGCAGCCCGCTGTCGGCACCTGAGCCGGTGACATCCCAAGGTAGGTCCTTGGGGCCATTTTCTCCCCCAAAGGATGGGCCAGAGAGGAGCTGGCATGCCAGGCACAGGCAGCAAGCACCCTACAGCAGCCAGAACCTGCAGGGTTGGGGAGGGGACATCCCAGGACGGTGTGCGAGGGGTGTTCAAGGTGGGCGATGGAGCCCCCTTCTCACGCATGGGACACTCTGGGGTGCCTGGAGCAAAGGGACGTCCCTGCTCTCTGCGGGCAGGACCTGGCTGCCCCTGGGCACCCCTTCGGGATGGCAGCATGCAGTTCCCAGCCCCGCACAGGTGGCAGAGGGGCTCCATGCTCATCAAAAGCTCTCAGAGTTACAATGACGAGGTTCTCGGCAAAATTCAAGCTAACATCTGACAGCGCGGCTCTGCGCCACGGGTAATGCTGTGGCACTGCTGTGCTAATCCCAATGCTCCCGCGTCGGCCTTGCCATGATCTTACAGCCCCACCGAGCATCCTCGGCTCAGCTGGTAGCTGGCCCCAGCCTGGCCTGCTGTGCCTGGCAGAGCTGCTTCCCAGCTTTCTTCCGTTTCGGGCCTGTCCATGCTTTCTTTGAGCCCCTCCTTAGCGCTTTTCACACTTTCTATAACACCATAAAAAGCATTAACTGAACAAAATCCTGTTGATCTCCTGCTCGTCTCTCCAGCCCCACCCCAGGTCTCTGGCCATGGCAGGCTCGGGAGCATGTTTTGAGTCACCCCCATAGGGGCAGTGGGAGGAAGGACGGGGTTGGGCTCGTCCTCCCTCTGCCCGCAGCCTCTGTGGCATTGTTGTGCCCTGAGCTGCTGCCCAAGTGTGGCTGATGCAGGCTGCAGAGCTGTGCAGCCACTCTTCCTGGGAAACGGCCTGCACCCAGAGAAGATGCTCTGGTAACCCACGGGACCAGCGTGGCCTCCCACTGATGCCATGGGTCCCCGTGCCACTGGGCTGCTGGGACTTGGCCACCCCATCCCCTGGTGCTGGGAGCTGGGAGAGTCATGGAGCCAGCACGAGGCCCGTGGTGGGTGCAATAGGGTGCAAAAAGGGGAGAGCAGGTAGGGGGGAGGCTGTGGTCCATGGAGAGGGGACGTGGGCTGGGAAGGAAGGCAACATAGGGCTGGCAAAGGAGGAACAGGGGTGGGGGTCAGGGCAAGGGAAGGGGCAGGGAGAGCAGAGGGATACTGGAAGGGTGGCAAGGACATTTGGGGACTGTCCCTTATTCTTCACCTGGGGCAGGCTCAGCTGGCAGCGCAGGGAGTGCAGAGCAGAGAACTGATGTGCTCAGCACATCGAGCAGGGCTGGTTGCTGGCAGGGGGCTTGTTGTGGGGTCCTTCAGCTGGGGGCAGTCCCGGGGGAAGGGGGCACATCCCAGGAGGAGGAGGAGGAGGAGAAGGGCTGGGGCAGGTCCCGGGGCAGAAGCGGTGGGGGAGAAGGGGGTGCTGGACCAATGCTGGGGGCAGCAAGGCCACCCCTGTGCTTCACGCATCTTCATCTTGGGGCTGTCCCCTTTTCCCTGACAATGGGGACAGGCGCCCATATGCCAGCAAAGTCACCGGTGCTTGGGACAGAGATCCTGCAGGGTTTAATGCTCCAGTTCATTCCCACAATGACAGGGAGGGCAGCATGCCGAGTGGGGCAGAGAAACTCACAGCCCCCCAAGCAGACCCCGAGCCAGGGTTTGAGCATCCCCCCTGCTCAAGACTGCGCGCCCCCACGCCAGCCCCCAGGCCCTTTCCCTCTCCCCGGGGCACTGCTCTCCCTTATCTCACTTCCACGCGCCTTCCGGCATGAGCAGGGCAGGGGTGCTTCCCCCCGATCGCTGGGCCCTGAGCTCCCCTCCAACCGCAGGGCTATTTCGGGATGTTTGTTTGTCCCGAAGGACCCCACGTGCTGAGGAGGGGGGAGCGGTGGGGCCGGCCGGTGGGGAGCCCTGCCGCCTGCCAGGACCCCAGTGTGAGCCAGCAGCCAGCATACGTGCTGTGTCCCTCCCCTGTGCCACAGCCATGTCCACAGCCATGCCCATGCTGCCCCAGGTCCCTGCCCGGCCCAGCCTTGGAGGCGAGCCGGCCAGCGGGCATGGGGACGCAGGTGGGATGGGGGCAGGTTTGTGCCCAGGGGCTCCTTCACGCCCACGCTCCTCCCAGACGCTGCGCTGCTGGCAGGGGTGCCCGAGGACATCCTCTGCTTCTCCCGCTCCTTCGAGGACCTCACCTGCTTCTGGGATGAGGAGGAGGAGGCAGCAGCAAGCAGGACGTGCTACTTCTACTACTGGTATAGCAGGTAGGAGGTGGTGGGGACACAGCCCAGCCTCCCCTTTGCCTGCACAGAGAGCAGCAGGGTCAGGGTCAGAGTACCACAGCTCTCCGTGCCATCCCAGTGGCTCCCAGCTGCAAGGAGCAATGGTGAAGAGCCCACGGGAGCTACATAGCAGCCACTACACACCCTGCAGCAGGGCTGGGACCATGGCTGTCCCTCAGTCCTGTGGGGATGGTGCCCTGCAGTGGATGGGGGCACAGGGAAGGAGCTGGTGACACCGAGGTCTCGGTGCCTTGCCCCAGGTCCTCTCTCCTCCAGACTGGCCCTGGGCAGGAGGCATGGGGTGCTGCAGGACCCTGCTCTCCGTTCCTCAGGGACGTACCCATGGTGTGCACGGTCTCCACGTGGCGCCACGGGGCCGGCAGGACACGGCATGTCTGCGTCTTCCCCGGCCAGGACGTGAGGCTCTTCACCCAGCTCCACCTCCGTGTCCTGGATGCCACCACCAACCAGACCAAGTACCAGCGGGAGCTCAGCGTGGACGCGGTGGGTGAGTCCTTCCCACTGGGCAATACCCATGTGACACCAGGACAGTCCCCAGACCTGGGTCCCCTGCCCTTCTGTCCACCACAGGGGCTGGCAGGATCCTGCGCCCTGTACGGTGGGCACAGAGGCAGCCCTGGGGGGACTGCCGGGTGTCCCCCGGCAGGACCAGGGCATGCCCAGACAGGGGCTGCCACAGGAGGGCAAACGCCCCGGCACATTCCCCGCAGGTCTCATTGCCCCCCCAGTGAACATCACAGCCCGCTGGGCCGGGGCTGCGGGGCAGCTCTGCGTGTCATGGCAGCCACCGCTCACTGACTACCTGAACTTCTTCCTCTACGAGGTGCGGTGCTGCCCCGCCAGCTCCTCAGAGACGCCCTGCAGCACCGCACTGGACCCCGGCGGGCAGCGCCCCGGGGAACCCTCCATCCGGCCGGCCAGCAGCACCCACACATCCATGGCCAGGGCAGCTGCAGCTTCCCCAGGAGCAGGGCAGGTACATAGAGGGGCCAGGGCTGGGCAGGGGGACTTGGGAGCCACAGCCGCTCCCCAGCCTGGCCCCTCTCCTGCAGGGGCTGGTCCAGGCCCACACCTGGGCAGTCCTCCAGGACCTGCAGCCAGGGGTGAGGTACCACATCCAGGTGCGCAGCAAACCCGACGGCACCTCCATGGACGGCGTCTGGGGGCCCTGGTCACAGGCAGTGGCTGCAGAGACACCCCGCTCCTCCGGTGAGCAGCCGTCTGCACTGCCAGGGCGCTGGCTGGCATGGCGGGGAGGCACCCACACCTGGAGCTGCGAAGGGTGGGGGTCCTAGGGTAGGTGAGGTGCAGCACCCAGGTTTTGGGGGGCACGGGGTAAGCAGCCACCTCCCTGCCCTGGCTCTTGCCTACTCAGGAGACATCAGGCTGTGCTGCAGCACCCCTGACCTGCAGCACGTGCGCTGCGAGTGGAGCTGGGACCCCGCAGAGCCCCGCAGCTCCCACCAGCTCTTCTACCGGGCGCCTCCAAGCGGGCCCGGCACAAGGTAAGGGGCATGGCGGGGACGTGGTGCTCAGGTAGCAGGGCAGCACATACCAGGGTCCACCAACTCTGCTCAGTGTCCCACATCCCACACTGTGCCGCCTGGCTCTGTGCCCTGCCCTGCCCTACACCATCGACCTCACACCTCCCCACCACCACTCCTGGCCACACTGCCCCTCCAACTACGGGCAGCACTGGCTTTCCTGGGCAAGTGCAGGAGGAGTGAGGCAGCGCTGGCTGTGGGGACAGTGTGGCCCCAGAGCAGGGCTGGCAGCGGGCAAGGGAGTGGGGCCACCACGGTGGGGCTGACTGGCTCCCCCTCCTCACGCAGGGAAGACGCATGGCAGCGGTGCGAGGAGGCGAGCGTGGGGGTGCAGGGCACCCACACCTGCACCTTCCAGCCCAGGGCTGGCAGCGCCATCTCCGTCCTGGTGAATGTCACCCAGCCCCACGCGCCACCCACACTCAGCTACTTCAAGGAACCCTTCTGGCTGCACCAGGCTGGTGAGTCCCAGTGCCACTGTGGCCCCTGCCCCTGCCTGGCTGGCGGGGTACACAGCATCCCATGTCCCGTTCCATGGTAGCGACACATCCCCATCCCCAACAGTGCTTACAGATGCCCCGCAGCTTGTGCAGGCGACGGTATTGCAGGGCCGGCTGAGCCTGCAGTGGCTGCCACCCCTGGAGGCACTTGCGGAGCAGCTGGACTACCAGGTCCGCTACGCTGTGGAGAACAGCCATGACTGGAAGGTAAGGCATGGCCGGGGCTCCCCCGAGCAGCCCTGCCCACCTCTGCTGCCAGCACATGGCCTGTGTGAGGTCAGGCAGGACAGACCCGCACCCCAGCACTGCCTCTCGGCCACCCTGCAGCAGCTGTCATCTCCAGCTCAGCTCTGCCTTGCAGGTCCTGCAGGTCCCACGGGCAGCCAGGAAAGAAGTCCTGGACCTACGGCCAGGTGCCCGCTACCATGCCCAGGTGCGGGCCCAGCCCAGCGGCCCATGGTACCAGGGCAGCTGGAGCGCCTGGTCCAAACCTGTCATGGTTGACGCCATGGCCGATGCGGGTAAGGGACAGGGCAGGAGCGGAGGCTGCAGCCAGAGGAGCCACACGGCCAAGGGCAGGAGACCAAGAGTGCTGGAAATGGGATGGGGAGCACCAGGAAGAGGGTGACAGAGCTGTGAAGGGCTCAGTGGTGGTGGGTCTGGGGAGGGCTACAGTCCCAGCATTCCTCCTCCAATGCAGGCTGGATCATCCCGAGCGTTACGGTGGTGCCGCTGCTCTTCACAGGAGTGCTCCTGGGGCTGCGGTGCACCTTCCCCTCCCTCTACAGGTAAGGGCTGTGCCTGGGGCAGGTGCGGTGGGTCCAGCACCAGGCCTGGGCACCTTGCCCGGGGGCGTCAGGGCACCCCGGGACTGAGGTTTGCCTTTGACACCCCCTTCCCCGCACCCAGCAACGTGAAGCAGAAGCTCTGGCCCCCCATCCCTGACCTGCACCGCGCACTGGGCAGCTTCCTCCACGAGAGCAGCAAGCACGCCCAGGTGAGGGGCCGGGGCAGGCGAGGACAGCGCGCGCCCGGGGGGGGGGCGGCGGCGGAGCGGGCCGCGGCTGAGCCCCCAGGGGGGCGGGGGGGGCGGGCGCGCCGCCCCCGCCCCGCC